AGGCGGGGCGACGCAGAGTGTTTGTGCGCCGAGTTTGCATGTCGTCCCTCTGAGCCAACGTCTCTCTTGCACTTTGAGGGGTGTTTTGTTTCTTCTTTTTTACTTTTGTTCCAATGGTTGTTTGCTACGCACATCCCAGTGGGTGGCGTCCCTTCCCCTTCTGTTTGCTACTGCCACCAACACGCACACGCGGTGCCTGCCTCGTGGCTGTGCGTTGCACGGACTGCCCAAACGAGACACGAGGCCGCGGAGACTGTGACGGTCAACCGTGATGCGTGCGTGCGAGCAGGCATTTCTTTTTTCCTTTTCGTTTCTTGCATGCAATGAATACACAAATACACACGCTGTCCTCTTGGGCTTTTGGACACGTGAGGCAAACACACCTGCCGAGGTAATTTATTTATCTCTTGTTTTGTTTCTGCGAGGAATTCTTCTGAGCTTCCTCTTTAATTTTGTTCCTTTTTTTTTGTTTGTTTGTTAAATAACTGCGGATTTCTTTTAGTTTGTGCCGTGCCCGCCACCGTCGCTGCATGCCGCCGTGTTTTGTTTGCTGCCGCTGCCGGCTGTGCGGCTGACATGCCTTCATTCCTCTTCTTTTTCCTGCTAGAGGCACCGGTAGTCCACGAGGTGGATTCTGCAGGTTTTCCGCAGCGATGGCACGGGAGTGACGGTGTGTGTGTCCGCTGCTTTGAAGGCGCCCGCTGCGGAGGGAGAGAATGTGCGGGGTGTGCGGCGTGTCTCGCTGCGAGTGTGTGGGGCACCACCCATCGCAGCCTGCCGTGCGGTGTGATGCGGATCGGTGAGGGCAAATATGCAGCAGCGGCAGGGTGTGCGGGGGACGTGGATCCGCCCCGTCCTTCGCGCTGCGGCTGTGTGGGTGCGCTGTGCGGCTGGCTTCTCCTCCGCGTGTCTTTCGCCCTTGCACGCTGGGGGTGTCGTGCTTCGTATTTGCGGTGTGGTGTCTGCCGCGGTGTGTGTTTTGGGGTGCGACTCCGAGTGATTCGTCTGTCGTCGTCACGGGGGCGCAGAGGCGGCGTGGTCATCGGTGCCGTGGCGTTTTGTTTTTGTGCGGTTCACGCGACTTGTTGGAGCCGCTGCTTTCGAGTGGGCGTGCGCCTGGCGCAGCTGGCCGCCGTGTGAGAGGCGTGGGGAAGTGCGGCCCATTTCGCGCCCAACGGCTGCAGGTGCCGGCGTCGCTGCCGCCGCGGTGGAGGGGTTGACGGGGAGTTTCCGCCGTCGGGGGCCGCTCGGTGTGTGTTGCCGCGTGGCAGCCGAAGCGGTCGTGGTGGTTTCTGCTGCTTGCTGCAGTTGTTGTGCTTTCGGTTTTTCCTCCTCTTCTCTGCTTGTGTGTCTCGGTGTGCACGAGCTGCGGCGGGGAGCACTGCGGGGTTAGTGATGATGACGGTGTGTGGACCCAACTGTGGGTGCGGGCGGTGCGCATTGCTTCATTCTTTTCTATTTGCCCTGTTTGCTCCGCCTCACTTTTATTGTTCA